CGATAGCGAATGTGACCTGTATATATACCTCAGAAATAATTTCAAACCATCAGACTTCACCGCTGTTCAGTTTCATTTCGCTCTTCAAGGTAACAAACACAGCATCAACTATGAGAGGGGGACAAGGGAAAGAGGAGGTAATAAATCGCAGAATTCATAACATCTATCCTCAGCGATAATGGTGTAATAGAAAAGGAGAAAGTTATTGATTCTCCTGCTGCAACGTTCCGAGACAAACCTTCACACCGCATAGTATAGAAAAACGAAAAATGCAACATAGATCGCTTGTCTGTTTCCATCCATGAATGGACTTCTTTTTCTCCGGTACCTATGCTGCTCCTGTGCTTCGTGGATATCTTTCGAACATGTCACATGTTTCTTCAGAGGCGCCACAGTCGAAGACTGATCGATGAATCAGAACTTCAGCGTGCTCGATCTCACACAATGGGCGAAAAAATGGCAGTACACTGACACGAGGTCCCTGCTGCGGAGACTTACTTTACAACGATGTCGTTACGAGGACGTTATCATGAAGTACCTGGCGCACGTCAGGCGACCTCAACGACTAACAGAAATTTTCACAGCAACACATTTCTCATTCAGCTGTTCAACGAAGACCTGTCAGTGACTTCTTCTGGTCGATTCTAAGAATCGATTGCTGGAAAGAACACGCGCATAACAACAAATTTTGATTGGCTACGACGTGCCACCGTGCAACCAGGGACAGCCATGTTGTCAAAGAGTGCTTTCTCACCGCGGGCATCAATCGAATCACGCCAGGACTTTCGTTTTTTGTTCCACCTATTCAACAATATCGATTGTCTTCTGTTACAAAGAACGAGAATCAACTATGTTGTGATGAAGATGACAGACGAATGACATATTTGCCAGAAAGCACAACAAGCGATGCTGGCGGCAGACGAGATTACTGGAGCACAGGCGTGCCGATTCGCTTCGCCATTACTTATTACCACCATGGCTCATGGCATTCCACACTTGTTGACAATCTACGACTCACGCTGCCGCGCATACAGACTACTTGACTGGCCAACGTCTGAATGTCTGGCTGAAGGCAAGTACAGTGACAGATGTCATCCAGTGCACCAGCTACAAAGCAGATATTCGAAACTTGAGGGAGAGTGACAAATGTTATGCGACAGACCAGTTATATAGGCTGTCTTTTGCAGTTACAGACGTAACTCCATTCATAAGAATAATGATATGCAGGTGGTGATGGTACAGTGACAAACAGGCAACGAATCCGTCCACTGAGGTGCAACAGTTGTCTTAATCACGAATTCCCTTCAGCAAAGAATTAGCCACACACGTTGCTTCGGTGCAATCAGCCCGAGAAACAGGCAGCATGTCGATGGTTTCCGAAAAATAGTACTTTGGCCAGCTTATACTAGAATGGACTAGGTGCCAGATGATTCTGCTTAATGTATGCACCCCATGTGGCTGCGCTTCGTCTTGACCTACCTTGAGAGCTGATTGCTCATTGTAATAAACGTCGTACGGTCAAACGCTGATTTCTATTTCCATTTTTGATGAATGCACAAGTTTGAGTAATGCTGTAACGTCGGCGTTGTTTTGCCCACTGTTCTGTGGTTCAAGCTTCAAAATGACACAGAGAATATTTTTCTTCACACTCCGATTATGCTCATCAAGCATAATCCAATAACGTTATTTCATTCTATCAGATTGACATGGCGTTGGTGAACCATTCTATTGCTTCGTGACGAATAGGGGGGACCACAGATGAGTGGAATTTGGACATTTCTGCGGTGCGTAGAATGAAGACTCGCATCACTAAGTTTGGCCAAACAGAACCGCATCTGAACATCATCAGGCTACTTCGCTCGTGATGCAACAGACTGTTCTACTCGCTCCGATCAGCCATAAGTGACAAACAGGTATAAACCGAAAACAACACAAAACTATTTATCAATACACATAGCAAACAATTCTTTGTTTGCATTGCGGATAAACAAATCCAGTTTTGTGTTGTCTTCAAAATGACCACAAACGCAGAACCCAAATACTCAAACAAATATAAACATCAGAGACAGAATCGAAAACAGTAATTTATATGCATAACTATGAGCACTATATAAACCGAGAAAGGGAAACAGAAATTAACATAGAAGTTGCACCCTGACTTCCTCCTAGGCATCGAGAAGCCAGGAAGTTGGACCCTTACGCTGAGTGAAATGATATTACTGGGCCTGCACACTGAAGGAATTGATGAAGTCGTTTCTGTTCGTCACCCAAGATCATCAGAATTATGTTTTGCTCATCTTCCAATTCATTCCTCACTTGCGTAAAGAAAAGCATTTATCATTCAGTTCAATTTCCATGTCCGTTTGTCCTTTCAGGTCGCAGAATTAGACGCGTCAGACAATGCTTCCAACATTCCCAAACTTGTGCCAGCGTTCGAGCTTCGGCAGAAGGCAACAACAGGACTTTAGGCCAGAGTTCCTAGGTAGACTTACGCAGGTTCGTCTTAACCGCGCCCTGGGTCTTCCACCAATCCTTCGGGTATGGAATAGATGCTTCGGTTCCTCTCTGGATGCCTTCTCAACACATGCCCCAATCATTAGAAGAAGAGAGCAGCTGTGGCTTTTCAACTACGAGAAGCAGCTGCTATACACAAAATCTTTCATTCTCCTTCTTTCTCAGATTCTGTACTCAAGATCATGTAGAGATTCGTGAGCCAAGCGGTTCGTTTCGGAAGGCAAATTTCAGATGCCTCTGTGCAGAGTATAAGTTTTTCAACCATGGCCATAAGTAAACACTGGGATGATGATCCACTTGAACATCGAGAGTTAAATTAATCTTCAGACTCAGCTCTGCCCGAGTCACAATGGTTCGCGCTAGTTCACGCAGAACGCCACTGGCTACACCAATTCGCCGGTCGATCTTTTCCTCCAACTTTCCATCACTAGTAAAG